GAAACAATAGGCAAGGTGAGATAAGAATAAACAAAATTGCAGGCATTATACATCATACTATTTCGTAATTTTGTCGCAATTTTTTTATTTGTCGGCCATCTTGGATATGAAGTCAACTTTTGGGTCGCCCTAAAGTTGACTTCAAATGTACATGTTTCAGGAAAAATCTAATTAAAAACGTTAACAGGGAAAAATAATAGGTAGAATTTTCCGAATTAAGTTAATTCTGGCAGCCATTTTGGATTTTGGCAACTCTTGGTGGCCCTAGAAGGTTTAGGTCTGAGGTTACAATTCCACTTAAAAGAAAGTTGACAACACCGAATAAATATGTATATCTCTAATAATTTTGGAGGCTATTTTGGATTTTGGTTGCCATCTTTGATTTGAGGTACAAATCTGGGTTGCCCCAAGTTTATTTCAAATAGTATGTTCTCAGGATGATAAAACCGCCGAGGAAACCTTGACCGGAAACATTTGCAGTTTATCCTTGGATGGGCTCTGTCTAAATGCGCAACTTGGTGTTTTAGCTGCTTTGCTAGAGCAGTTAAAAGTTTCTTTGAATATCGTAAGGATTTAAGTGCTAAGGAAAATTTTTACATTTGCGGTTGACATATTATGGCATTTGAGGTAAAAATGGAAATGTTTACATTTGTAGGGGAAATGTTACTACATTTGTGGTTAAACAGATTTTTACATTTGTGGGAGATTTTAACATTTTTGGTTATGTTATAGCATTTGCGGATATTTTGACATTTGCAGGTAGAATGTTTTAACATTTGTGGTTATTTTAACATTTGTGGTAGATTTTTTCATTTTTGGGCTCTACACACGTGGACTCCGCATACAAGTTACAATTACATTTAATAACTGATCTAGACACACTGCACTTATTGGAACAGCATTTCTGGTTTTTTACAATCACATCTTACCAAGAAGTATCTTGATTTATATATTATTATTATAAGTATAAGTAGGTGGCGCATTTTTCTTTTTTGTGTTGTGAAAATAATAAATATTTTAATAATTTATTTACTTGGCTGTCAGAAGAGTGAGTTTTTTATCTAAAAAAAATGTGTACTTATCTTATCGTGATGACATAATACACAATCGCTAATGTCTTCTGTACAGCAATGCGATTGGCTATTACCTATCACAAGAAAATAGTGATAGAGTAGAATTTACGACTTTGAAAACGTGATGATCTCTTGTGTTGAAAAACAAAACTGTTATTCTAATATAGAATTATATATTCCTAATTAAAGTATATTTTAATATTCTTGGGCCTATCGTTTGCTTTTTGTTTTTTCAGCCACTAATTCCAATGAACTGGGTAATATTTCAGGTAAGTTGCAACAATTTGTAAATACTTACTCTTTATGTTATTCTAATATCCTGTTAATAAAATTGCAATTTATAACAGTACGGTATTATTTAGGAGCTGATCCGGAAGCGAGGGCCGACGAAAGAGGGAGCGAAGAATGGTGTAAATTATTTCTTTTCTTTTTATTTTCACTTTCCATAAGGAGGAGGCGTCACCCAACTAAATATTCGTCCTTGATGTTAATATACCGTAAAACCTCAAATATTTTTTTTTTCGAACATTGTATGGCTTTTTTAAGGCTACTTTTTTTCGAAGTTTGTGAATTTCTAATATCAAAAAATAAGCAGTAGATGTGCTGCAAAAGCTGGGCCTGTGTGCTTTTGCAAAAAATTCCACTTTCATGCGATATTAATTGTTTCGTCTATTTCGACCCCAATAAAACACTAAGACCGATGTTAACTTTATTTCTTCCAAAATAACGGTACAAAAGATACCATATCCAACCAACAGTACGGTACATATGATACACCGTCTAACAACGTAACAATAGGCATTTTTCGTTTTGACTACACGGTCAGTCTACTACGAACTAATGGAACCGTGACGGCAACGCCAAGACACTGTTCGCGTACTACACCAAGAGCTGTTTTCGTTTTTCTAAGGCGACTACGACGACGCACCACACGTACGTAGGCCTACGGAGAGGAGTTAGTCGACCATGGTTTTATTACCAGGGAACAATGTTCCGTTGTTTTATATTTGAAAAAAAAATGTGAATAATAACATTAGTCAAATACAAAATAAAAAGTTTCCAGAAAACACTGAGTGATGTTTCGCTGTTGGCTAGTATCTATGCCTACAGGCTATGCCTAGCCTAGGTGTCAAAAGAGTCGGGAAATGGGAGAAGAGGGGTGTCAGGCCTGCTCAGGCAATTTGCTAAATGCAACGATGATGTACAAATAAATGTACATAACAGAGGTATTTATATAGCAAGGCTTGATACACGACACCATGGACGCTATGCCCTAGCTAGCGGCACCAGATAATGTGTTTTCTCCTACCCAAAATCCACCCTCCCTGACAAGGCTAGGCTAGCCTAGGCCTAAGGCTCAGACGCCCCTTTTTCATTATCCACTGATTTACCTAATTATATGTTGTGACTATTCCGAAATTCCTCATTTATTGTATGTATATAAATAGGCCTTCATAAAACATTTAATTACTCACTTGTTTTATTAATTAATTCATTATTGAACGAACAATGCTCAATCGCGGATGCGATGAAAATTGCAACCCCCAACAAATATGTTACCAGCAGTTTGACAAACAATCCGGTGATATGGTTGGTCAATATTATGGTAGTCGCCACTATGCCAAATTCAGAAATTGGGGTAGTCGCGGAAGCTGTCACAACGCTGATTTAGCCAGTAAGGTTTGTGAGCATGTGCAGATGTCTGTTACGCTCTATTAGTTCGTAGTAGACTGGCCGCGAGGTCAAAACGAAAAATGCCTATTATACAGTATAACCAATGTCACGATTGAACTACAAAATAGTAACAACAGATAATAAATAACGATAATCATCAATCAATCAATAACTAATCATATTAACAATTAATAAGATTTACGAATTGGTCCTCATATCCCATAATGGCATGTAAGGCCTATATTAAAAATACATGCTAAAACAATCATCTAAATTATATTATAATTAGTTATATTTATATATCATATAATTAAGTCTACTTACAAGGTGTGCTCGGCTTGGGATCGATAAAACAGATGAATCATAAAACCGAACCGAAAGATACTTTAGTATGATTCTCTACGCACGCGCGTATAAACCATGCACGCGTTTGCCGTAGCAACAAGAATGCGAAATAATGCAAAAGAAGTAAAATGGCCATAACATTCCGGCCCCTTAATTGTGAAAACAATTACAATTAACAATTCAATCAGAAATACTCACACAGCATATTATACAATCATCTTATAAAAATTTTAAATATCATTCTCCAATATGGATATCAATTTAGTTATTGGACGTTCCAAAGTAGAATTAGCTGTCTTGACTTGAGCAATTCTAACTACCCCTTTACATTGATTATTTTTCCTAGCAACCATGTATTCCTAGGTGTTGCATTATCCACCACTAATACAATATCTCCTAACTTAACGTTGCGTCTTATTGTGTGCCGCTTCTAACGTTCTTGTAGCGTAGGTAAATATTCTTTCAAAAATCGTCTCCATAAGACATCTGCCATATCCTGCTTCCAGCGACACCGGCCATACATGTCTTCCTTACAAAATACACCTGGTGGCATAGGTGGTTTCCGTTTCAATAGTAGAAGATGATTTGGTGTAAGTGGCTCAAAATCGTCATGTTCTCCAGAAATTGTGGTGATAGGCCTGTTATTGATAATTGCTTCTACCTCACATAAGTATGTTTGTAGACACTCGTCGTTTAGAGGATGCTGTCTAAGAGTGTGTCTTACTGACCGTATATGCCTTTACCACACACCTCCATGCTGAGAAGCTTCGGTAGTATTAAATGACCAGTCTACATTTTTGAGAATCATTGCGTTGTGAATTTTTGACTGGTTCCATTCCTTTATGGCTTCTCTTGAGTTCCGTTCTGCTCCAATAAAATTAGTCCCATTATCTGACCGAATTTCTTTAACTTGCCCTTTTCGTGCAATGAATCGTCGTAGTGCATTTATACATGAATCTGTATCCATAGAGTATGCTACCTCAATGTGGATAGCTCGAGTATTGAAACACGTAAATATCACCGTATCTCTTCTCCAGTCGTCGGCCAAGCTTCATTTTAAATGGTCCGAAATAGGCTGTTCCTACCCTGGTAAAAAGTGGGTCGTCGGGAATTAACCGCTCAACAGGTAGATTCGCCATCTTTTGTCCACATATTTTGCTTTTCAGCTTCTTACCAGTAACACACTTGTTAATGATTCTGCGGACTGCCGAATTTGCGTTGATTATCCAGTATCTTTCTCAAAGATTAGCAAGAAAATGGTTTCTGCCACTATGACCAACTGATTCATGAATATGCCGGATAATTAAATTCGACACATGAACGTTTTTTGGTAGAATAACAGGATGTTTATTCTCTTCTGGCATTCTGGCTCGTTCAAGTCGTCCTCCAACTCTTATTAGAACATTTTCAAACGTTGGGTCTAGTTTGTATATCGAACTAACCCTTTTAAGCTGTAAGGATTTCCTTCTATCCTTATCTCTCAGAGTGTTTACCTCGTTTGGGAAAGCTTTGCTTTGTACGAACATTAGAATTGCTCTTTCTGTTTCATGTACTTCATCTAATTTGAGGTGTTTTCCTGATTTTACCAGTTTTCTTTCATTCAACATCTTTTTGTTTACTAGCGATTTCAGCCGTTTAGCATCTTTCTCTATCATTGCACCTTCTTCGGTAAATTTCTTCCGTAGTTTACTGAGTTGCAATAGAATTGATTTAAATCGTAATAATCATGCTACAGATTTCTTGAACATCGTCCAACTTGAGGCACTATTGTGTAATCTTTGAACAAATTCCCTTGCATCATTTTGATTTGCTACTATTGTATTTGTGATGATATGTTTCTTAACTTCAGGATCATTAAGTTCTTTAATGTTTGGCATTTCTCGTCGCGGCCATTTGTCTTCTGAAGTCTATAAGAAGTCTGGTCCATTGAGCCAACATTTACAAGCTAGAAATTCTTCCGCAGTTTGGCCCATTGACGCATCGTCAGCTGGGTTGTGGTCTGTGCTTACATACCTCCATTGAGTAGGCTCTGATCGATCGTGGATAGCTGTTATACGATTAGCGACAAATGTGTGGTACCTTGAGGTGGTGTTATTGATATATCCAAGTACAGCAGTAATATCTCTCCAAAATACGCTTGGCTCCAAATCAACTTCTAATTCTTCTCGTAACATAGTATCCAATCGTGCTGAAATTACAGCAGCATTTAATTCGAGCCGTGAAATAGTTACTTGTTTAAGACGTGTGACTCTAGCTTTTCCCATCAGAAAACTGCAACGAACAGCTCCTTCTCGGTTGATCGAACGTAAATACGCAACAGACCCATATCCCACTTCGCTTGCGTCTGCAAAATGGTGTATCTGTGAATGAATCACCTCTCCAAATTTGAATGGATTTATACATCGCGCAACAGATAAGTCTGCGAGCTTTGGTAAATCATCCATGTTATCCATCGTCTTTTAAGGGCATCGGGAATCTCTTCGTTCCATCCTAGGTTTAATCTGCACAGCACTTGCAGTAAGTTCTTTGCAGGTGGCACAAATGGCGCAACGAATCCTAACGGGTCATAGATGGAACTAACCATTGATAGAATACCTCGTCTGGTAATTGGTTTATCCTTTATCGCTATCTTATAGCCAAAACAATCCGTTTCCATTACCCACTGAACTCCTAAACCTCTCTCTCTAGGTAGGGTGTCCCGATCCAAATTTAACTTCTTTATTTCCTTTGACCTATCTGATATTGGTATACTTCGTAGTACGCTACGTCTGTTGCTGTTCACGCCTTAGTTACGTTTGCTACCATAGCAATTGCGTCTTCGTCTGTAGCTACTGACTTTAAGCAATCGTCTACGTAGAAATGTCGTTTTAAAGTTTGGACAATGCTGGCGTCCACGCCCATATGATTGTCGTTTGCCGTACTTCGCAGTGCGTAATTGGCGCAAATTGGCGATGACGTGGCTCCGAATATGTGTACAGCCATTCGGAACTCTCTTTCTTTAAGTCGCCATCCCTCCACCACAGAAAACGAAGCAAATCACGATCATCCTTCGGTACTATAACTTGGTGAAACATGGCTTCAATATCACCAGTTACCGCTACTTGTTCCTGTCTGAATCGAAGTAGTACTCCGACCAATGAATTTGTTAAATCTGGTCCTTGCAGAAGCTGATCATTCAAAGAAGTTCCTTGATACCGAGCCGCACAGTCAAAGACGACACGGATTTTTCCAGGCTTTTAAGGATGATACACACCGTGATGGGGTAAATACCCTAGCTTTCCATCAGCACGATTTATTTCCTTGGGCTTTACTATTTCGGCAAATCCTGAATCCAGCAACTTTCTATAAAAGTTTCATAAACCTCAAAGAATTCCGGCGATTTCTCAAATTTCTTTTTAAGTTGAGTCACACGTTGGTAAGCTTGTGGTTTGTTGTTTGGCATGTTCAACTCCTTTTTGATGGGAAGGCCTATTTCATAATGTCCCTCGTCCATTCTAATGCTCCTCTCTGCCATCTGTATGAATTTCCTATCGTCTCTGGAGAGTCCAACTTTCTCTCCGGCGCTCCTTTCACTGAAATCGTGATTGAGATAGTCCCGTAATTGTTCTTCCAAGTCCACTTTTACTACACTAGTTCTGTTTACATTGTGAGACATTACTGTATCTGCAAACCTAACCGGTCCATTTACTGCCCATCCCAATAGAATCTTGATAGCGCACGGTCCATCTCTGTCACTGTTAATAACTTCCCATGGTTCCATTATTTTTGGGACATTGTTTCCGATCAGTAATCCAATGTCTGCTTCTATGTTCTGAATTATAACTTCGTTTAAGTGAGGCCATTGGTCAACATCCTCCTGTGTTGGTATTTCTTCTTTAGTTACGGGTATTTTACTCTGTGTTTATGTAACAGGTATATTAACCTTGTTATTCCCTTCTAGATCGCATACATCAAGTCCGTAAATCAAATTGCTGTCTACAGGTTGTTCTTTGGCTCCCATAGTTGACAATAAGAGTCTGGTTTTCTTTCCGCTAACTTCAAGTTGTTCCATTAGCCCCTCGGAACAGAAGGTGGCTGAACTTCCGTTATCCAGGAAAGCATACGTCTTTACGGTATTACCGCTACTCTTTGCTCTTACAATAACTGGTATAGTCGACATACCAGTTCCATAGGGGCTTTGCCGGCCCCTATGGAACTATTTGTAGCGTTGGTATATGTGTGTGAAACTACATTTGAAGTTACTCGTTGAGATTCGGTTGTAGGATCAGCACTCTTACTGACAGGTTTAACGGATGTGTTGTGAAGCACAGTCGGATGTTTTCGCTGGCATACTTTACAAGTAGCCTTCTCTTTGCATTCACTGCTTCTGTGCCCTGGAACTAGACAGTCAAAACACATTCCTTTTGATTTTAGGAAGGCTATTTTCTCCCCATGTGTTTTGTTTTGCAGACGACGACAAAACTCGACACTATGTCCCCCTTTACAATAGGTGCATGGTAGGTTTAAGACGGTTTCATTTTTCTCACCCAAAGGTTCTTGTAGGCTTATATTTACAGCAAAATTCGATTTAAACCTGGCTTTTCCTTTTCCCGTTTTGCCTGTCTTCCAAATACAGGATTGGTTGCAATTTTTACTTCCTTGTTTATGAACTAGACTATGTCCTTGAATTGAACATAGCCACCCTGTTTTCCATAAGGTCGTGGGCTCTGCGGCTCCATATATCTTGCAAGTAATATGACAATTTCTTAACAATTGCCTGTAGGTTTCGTGGATGCTCGATTTCTCGCATGGATTTTAGATCCTCCATTGCATTTTTGCAGCCAGAAAGAAAAATTGAACATCTTTCTAAGTTATCAAAGTCATCTGGTCTGACAATTGGCCAACTCATAATTTTGTCGGTATATGCTATGGCCATCTTGTATTCGTTGCCATACATCTCTAACAGAAATCGCGCCAAGCTTCGTAGTATCCAACATCGGGATCAAGGTGCATACAAATACGTACGAATGTGTTAGGACCTCCAGTTGTATTATACTGCTCCAAATAGTGATGCTTTTCACTAAGGCGATGAGTACGAATACCCACTCTACTTTCAAATACCTTTAGGAATGAACGAAATTCGATTGGATCTCCTCCAAAATTAGGTATAGTTGATTGTGGCAACAAATTTCTTTGTTGTTGATCAACAATTATCTGTGTTAATTGTTCCTGTGTGCGCTGAGATGCGGACATCTGAGTTATTATTTGATGCAATGCCTGTTGGGACAATTGATTAAATTCCTGAGCATATGGGTTGCATCCACTTTGGTTTATTGGTACTGAATTTTCACCTAAGTCGTTGATCGTTTGAGTAGTACCACTGTTATCATATTTCCTTGGCTGTGGGTTTGGTAAGGTAGCTAACGGCGTCTCGGTTTCACGATTCCAGTCCTTAACACGGTTTAAAGCAGATTCCATTTGACTGCATGCTTCTCCTTGATCATTGGATTTATATTCATTTTCCAACTGCCGAAATTTAGCAATTTCTATCTCTGTGTAAACTTGCTCCTTAACACGAGACATTTCAATTTCTGTTTTGAGTGCAAGCTCTTTCATATCCAACTCCAGCAAAATGGCCTTTTGCTTCAATTCTCGTTTTCTTTTAAGGGCTTCTACCTTGGCTATTAGTCAAGCTTTATTAGCAGTCTTCTTAAGTCTATCCGATGCTGTTGACGAACGACTAATACGTGATCCAACTTGTGAGATACTGTCATCAGAAGAAATTATTGCCTGTTCACCTTGACTTGTGAATTTACTGATTCCTTTAACTATATTTGGGTTTCCATTAGGTTACTTTACGCATCTTTCAATTGATGCTAATTCCCTAGCAACAAAGCAAGCAGTACTATTAGCGATCAAATCCACTGCATCACGGTTCTCCATTTGTACGTTTCCGTTGATGACAGTATTCTCTGAGTAACTTCCAGTGATTTCGGTCAGATTTCAGGATCTTCATCCGAAACCTTTTCAATAATATTTCGTCTATTTCGACCCCAATAAAACACTAAGACCGATGTTTTCAATGCGTTGCTGGTTAACTTTATTTCTTCCAATATAACGGTACAAAAGATACCATTTCCAACCAACAGTACGGTTCATATGATACGCGTAACAATAGGCATTTTTTCGTTTTGACTACGCGGCCAGTCTACTACGAACTAATGGAACCGTGACGGCAACGCCCAGACACTGTTCGCGTACTAAACCAAGAGCTGTTTTCGTTTTTCTAGGGCGACTGCAAAGACGCACCACACGTACGATACGCCGTCTAACAACGTAACAATATACAGTCCAACCAACGTCACGATTGAACTACAAAACAGTAACAATAGATAATAAATAACGATAATCATCAAATCAATCAATAACTAATCATATTAACAATTAATAAGATTTACAAATTGGTCCTCATATCCCATAATGGCATGCAAGGCCTATATTAAAAATACATGTTAAAATAATCATCTAAACTTCTAAATTATATTATAATTAAGTTATATTAATATCATATAATTAAGTCTACTTACAAGGTGTGCTCGGCTTGGGATCGATAAAACAGATGAATATTAAAACCGAACTGAAAGATACTTTCGTATAATCCTCTACGCACGCGCGTATAAACCATAAGTGCGTTTGCCGTAGCAACAAGAATGCGAAATAATGCAAAAGAAGTAAAATGGCGATAACATTAATTATTAGCTTGGATAGGTGTAATTTCGCCCTATCTGACGTGGAAACGTACCGAATACTCAATATATTTGAAAAACAATTGTTGTTATCGGGTGTTATCGGGTTGTTATCGGGTTGCTGTCTCTTTTACACATCTAGATGTGTATAATAGACAGGGATCCAACATCGGGATCAAGGTGCATACAAATACGTACGAATGTGTTAGGACCTCCAGTTGTATTATACTGCTCCAAATAGTGATGCTTTTCACTAAGGCGATGAGTACGAATACCCACTCTACTTTCAAATACCTTTAGGAATGAACGAAATTCGATTGGATCTCCTCCAAAATTAGGTATAGTTGATTGTGGCAACAAATTTCTTTGTTGTTGATCAACAATTATCTGTGTTAATTGTTCCTGTGTGCGCTGAGATGCGGACATCTGAGTTATTATTTGATGCAATGCCTGTTGGGACAATTGATTAAATTCCTGAGCATATGGGTTGCATCCACTTTGGTTTATTGGTACTGAATTTTCACCTAAGTCGTTGATCGTTTGAGTAGTACCACTGTTATCATATTTCCTTGGCTGTGGGTTTGGTAAGGTAGCTAACGGCGTCTCGGTTTCACGATTCCAGTCCTTAACAC